ACCGAGACTGCCCTTCAACCTGTGAGAATTCCTCCTATGGGAACCAACTTGCCCCCTAATTCATGAACTTTTCTCCCATGGGAAATGAATTGCCCATCAAGTCACAAGGACTCACCTGAGCCAGGAGTGACTTTGAACAATTAGACTTAATAAATATCTACAGAGTGTTTCACTCAACAATAGAATACACATTCTTCTCAGCAGCCCATGGAACTTTCTCTAAAATAGATCTAATAAAGCTAATAAATAATAGAGCTAATAAATACTATCTAATAAAGCAAGCTTAAGGAAACAAAAAGAATTGAAATTATACCATGCATATTGTCAGATCATAGTACAATGAAACTAGAAATCAATGGCAAAAGAAAACACAGAAATTATGCCAATGTACAGAATCTAAACAATACACTCTTAAATAATTAATGGGTTACAGAAGAAATCAAGGAAAAAATAAGATGGTTTCTAAAACTAAACAATAATGCTAATACAACATACCAGAACTTATGGGACACAAAGAAAGCAATCCTATGAGGGAAGTTCATACTTATGAGTGCCCACATCACAAAAATAGAGTGAGCCCAAATGAAAAACCTAATGATGCACTTCAAGGTCCTAGGAAAACAAGAAAAATCCACATCCAAAGTTAGTACAAAGAAAAGAAATTATAAAGACCAGAACAGAAATCAAACGAAATTGAGACTAAAATAAAAACAAAAACCAAGGAATCAATGAATTGAAGAGTTTGTTTTTTGAAAACAATAAACAAAATAGAAAAACTCTTAGTCAATCTTACCAAAAAAAGAAGCTCCAAATCAATGCAATTATAAACGAAAAAGGTGAAATACCAACAGACACCGCTGAAATCAAGATTATTAACAACTACTTTACAAACATATGCCAATAAATTGGAGAATTTAGAAGAAATGGGTAGATTCCTAGATACATATGAAGAAGACTTAAAAATCCCAAATAATCCAATAACAGTCAATGAAATTACCTACCAAGGAAAGCCTAAGTCCAGATGAATTCACTACTGAGTTCTACAAAAACTTCAGGGAAGATCTAACATCAATAGTCCTCATGCTCTTTAATGAAGTAGAAAGGGAAGGAGTATTCCCAAAGTCATTCCTGGCATTACCCTAATTCCAAAACAGGACAAGGATCCCAAAGCAAAAGAACTATAGACCAATCTCTTTATGAATGTAGATACAAAAATCCTCAACAAGACGCAAACAGAATACAATGGATCATCACAAAGATCATACATTATGACCAAGGAGGCTTCATTCCAGGGATGCAAGGATGGTTCAACCCAGACAAATCAACAAAATATATCCCATAAACAGAAGGAAGGACAAAAATCACATGATCATCTCAACAGATGCAGAAAAAGACTGACAAAATCCAATAACCTTTCATGATAGGAAAGGAAACTGAAGAGAACATCAGAAAATGGGAAGATATTCCCTGTTCCTGGAAAGACAGAACCAATACAGTCAAAATGGGCATACTCCCAAAATTATTATACAGATTTAATGCAGTCCAAATTAAAATACCAGCAGCATTTATCACAGAACTGAAAAAAACAATCTTAAAATTCACACGAAACCAGAAGAGACCCAGCATAGCAAAAGCAATCCTGGCTAACAAGAGCAAAGTGGGAGGCATCATGATCCTAGACTTGAAGTTATATTACAAAGCTACAGTGATTAAAAACAACATGGTACTGGCACAAAAACAGACATGAGGATCAGTGGTACAGAATAGAGCATGCAGAAACAACCCCAAGCACATTCAACTATTTGATCTCTGACAAAGGGACCAAAAACATGCACTGGAGAAAAGAGTGCCTCTTTAATAAATGGTGCTGGGAAAACTGACTACCCACACGCAGAAGATTGAATCTAGACCTGTATCTCTCACCATGTACTAAACTAAAATCGAAATGGATCAAAGATCTAAATGTTAAAACAGAAGCACTTAATCTTCTGGAAGATAAAATAGGTAAAACTCTTGAAGTCTTAAGCATAGGCAAGGACCTTCTAAACAGAACCCTGGTTGCACAGAAAACAATATCAAGAATCAACAAATGAGGTCATACCAAATAAAAAAGCTTCTGCACAGCAAAAGAAAACCAACAGAGTGAAAAGGAACAGGAAAAATTTTGTCAGCTATTCTTCAGACGACTAATATCTAGAATATATAAAGAACTCAAACATTAGGCCCTCCCATATAAAAGATCCACTCAAAAAATGGGCAAGTGAAATGAATAGGCACTTCATAAACAAAGACGTATAAATGGCCAATAAATATGAGAAGAGATGTTAGCTGGCCATCAGAGAAGTGCAAATTAAAACAAAACCAAGAATCCATCTTACCCCAGAAAGAATGGCTATCATCATGAAATCAAATAATAAATACTGGTTAAGTTGTGGGGGGAAGGAACCCTTCTATATTGGTGGGAATGTAAACCAGTACCACCACTATGGAAATCAGTATATGGTGATTCCTCAAAACACTTAAAATAGAAGTTTTATTTGACCCAGCTATTCCCCTTCAAGGTACTTCCTCAAAAGAATTAAAGACATCGTATTATAGTGACATGGCCATACCCATGTTTATAGCAGCACAATTCATAATAGTTAAATTTTGGAAGCAACTTATATGTCCATTGGTAGATGAATGGATAAAGAAAATGAGGTATCGGGCCGGGAATTTAACTCAGTGGTTTTGCCGCCTGCTGTGCAAGCACAAGGACTCAAGTTCAATCCCCGGTACAATAAAACCAAACCAAAACAAAACAAAAAACCAAAAAGAAAATGTGGTATTTACATACAATAAAGTACTAGTCTGCTGTAATGAAGGGTAATGGCATTGTAGGAAAGTGGATGCACCTTGGGAACTTAATATTAAGTAAAATAAACCAGGGACATCAGCTTAAATATCACATGGGTTTCTCTTATATCAGAAGCCCAAAATATAAATAAAGAGGAAAATAAAAGATAGATAATAGGAAGTAGGGAGACAGATCTTTCTCAAAGGGAAAGAGGATCGTGAGATGGAGGGCAGGGGAGGGAAGAGAAGAGAAGCAGGTGAAAAAAGACCAAGCTGTGTGATGTACATGTACCAGCTCCCCACAATGATTGTGAACATTATGTACCACAAACTTGTGCTAGTAAAAAAATGATTGAAAAAAAGAAACCAGGACTGAGCTAATAATCCTTGAAAGCTGGCCTCCTGCTTTTGTGTGTGAGGAGCAGTCTGATCTTCATCAGAGTGGGCCCCCTCCAGCTACTGCTCATGTGGGAGTCCTGATCTTCCTTTGCTTTCCAGTTAAAGCTTTTGCCTGTACATTCACACTATTGCTTTAGTTTCAATTCTGATTACTGCAAGAGGAAGGATCATGGTGACAATACTAACCTAGTATTAGGAGAGGAAAACTAAACAGCTCATTCTGAAGTTCACAGGGTGAAATAAATATATGAGAAAAGACAAACATGTATTTCAAAAAACAAGATGATACTGGTTTTGGCACCAAAATCAAAACAATGAGAAACAAGAAGACTAGCCAAGCATGGTTGTGTACGGCTGTAATTCTAACTACTAAGTAGGCTGAGGCAGAAGGATTACAGTTGGAGGCTAGCTTGGGCAACTCAGTGATACCCTGTCTCAAATAATAAAAAGTACTGGGGACACGGCTCAGTGGCAGGGCACTGCTAGCTCAAATCCCCAGTTCTGCAAAAACAAAAACCAAACAAATAAACAAGAAAATGACAAATGAGAAAACAGATCTATTTCTAACAGATGCCAAACACAATGTAAAATTAAGATAATGGAAAAAGATTCACTGACATATCTGTAGACAAGAGAGATTGATAGGAATTCAGTACACAATAAAGATGGCATTTCAAGCACCAGGGGAAAATAAGAGTGCTTGCTAAATAATGTCAAGACAATAGGCTGCTTGTAGTACAAATTACCCTGGATCTCCATCTTATTCCTTACAATATGATGAAGTGATATTATCTAATAAAGTAATTCTTTTGAAAACATGGGAAGAGAGTGAATAATCTTGGAGTAAGGAAGGTCTTTGATAAAATTATGAAAAGTCACAGAGACCCATCTGATGGCCCACTTATCAGCAAAGGCCTCAAGATCTGTTGATTGGCCCACCCATATTTTACAATTTTTCATAACAAGTCACTACAATTTAAAAATGGAGAGATTTTACATAAAAATCAGTGTCCAGCTTCTCTTGGAAAATGGGAGGATGTGGCCACGACAGTCCATTCCAGCTTGAGAACAACCAGCTGTCTCTTCCTGCCCTCCCTGTGCTGGGCTTTTGCTCTCTGGGTCATTCCAGTCTCCACCCAGTGTGCTCATTTCCTCTACCTCCTTCACCACCTCTTCCCCAGGCATTACGCTGGTGACCCGACAAAGACATGTGACCACATTAAGGTTCTAAATGTCTGAGACACCATCTCAGTCACTTTTCATGTGCCAGAAATTTCTAAAAAGTCTTGGGTGCACAGATGGCCCAGGAATCCACAATGGATTATTTTTTCTTAACTTCAATATCCCCTACAGCTATTAGCCTGGGTCCTTCCCCCTGTGGGGGTTAGCTTTCAAAGTCTATGAATATTTCCAGAAGACAAACAGTTTCCTCTAAATTTTTTTGTCATGAAGTTACACAAAGTGGTCTTTTATCTCTGTTTTTGAGATGCTGAGGATCCTCACATGCTAGGCAAATGATCTGGCATTGAGCTATATCTCTAGACTCCCGAAAGTGGAGTCTACTACCCTTATTTATTCTCATCTGGGCTGGGGATTTAGCTCAGTGGTTCTGCCGCCTGCCTCGCAAGCGCAAGGATCCGAGTTCGATCCCCAGTAAAAAAAAAAAAAAAAAAAGAAAGGATTGTGCATATTCTCACCTTTGCCATCTCTCTTAAGTGGTGTGCTTCTCTACTTCGGCTTTCTACTTATCACATAAAGGATAAAGGTTTCTTACTGGCAGATGGCTTTATTATTCATCTATATTATATGCCTTTTAATTTATCAAGAAGCATAAAACATGATGAACTTTACTAAACCACTTCCTATTTCCAAGATAACTTCTTTTGCACTTAAAACTTCTACTTTGATTCCCAACATGTCAAGTCTTTTTTTCAAATCATTCACACAAATAGAAACAGTACTTTAAATCAATTATTCCTTTTGTTTCAACATGGTCCGGCAAAGCCATATAATCTTAAGCAAACTCACTATGCTTATCTATGCTCAAGTGTTTGGGCTAAGGAAGGCGTGCTGTTTTCTTCTAAGTCTTTCCTCGGGATCCACACATCAGACACTCATCTCTGTTCTCCAGAGAGCACACCATGGCTGCTGTGTTCCTCTCTTTCTCTTCTTCCTCCTTTGATGCTTTTTCCTTATCTTTCAGCTTTTCCTTATTTAGAGTGAACTGGACAGGATTAGCTGCAGGTCTTGTCCTTAAATAATACATCCTAGTCTTCAAAGCCTACAAAGGATATAAATATAACTATTAGAAGAAATTTTGTGAGAACACTAGACATTCAAAATCAATATTTAAAATATATCCCATATATGCAAGTTAAAAATTTTAATTTAGAGAAATTTTTTCAAAATACATTTGTGAAAAAAAGAAGCATAAAACACCTTGTAAATAAAGCTGAATTAGGGTGAGAGGTGATGGTGTTTCACAAGCTGTATCACTGTTGAGGGTATTCTGAGGTCACAATGAGCTGTTGGGGATTTTCTACAAAGACTTTAGCTTTTATCTACAAATAAACATAAAAGCTAGAACAGTTTTTAGGCTTTGAGGAAACCATCTCAGTTGATTGTTTATATTTTACAGAATGAATAAAAATGAAAATTTCAAAATTGTTTCCAATATTTTGCAATTATTAACAATACTGTAATAAATGACTGGGTACTTGTATTTTTTCATTGTTGGAAGTATAAATCATATATATATATGTAGGAGGTATATATCATATATATGATATATGCCTCAGTTCACAAACTTGATTTTTTCCACGATTCTGGTCACAAACCGAACTGGGTGAGAACTGAATCAAATTTCCCAGTAAGGCCAACATTGAATGTAACTATTGAATTTGATTTGGTTCTCATCCAACTTGGTTTTGACCAGACTATTGGAGAGAATTGAGTCCCTGAACTGAGATATGTATCTTTCTCTCCAGGGAACCATGAAACTCAGAGCTACATTGTGACTGTCCATGTTTTCTTTCTTAGCTCATCCCATTGGCAGGAAGCACAGATTGTGATTAAGAGTACTTCTTCTGACAAAGCCTTTAATTCCTGTTTCAGCCAGTCACTTTGGTGGCACCGCTAGCTTGTACTGTAGTAGCTCTCAACCCTGTCTGCACATCAGTCACCTGGGAGCTTTTAAACATTATTGCAGCAAGCTGCCTGGAGCATGTCCTGGCTGAGTAGGAAGTGCTCCAGCCAGAGAAGTCCTGGTTTTCTTTTGCAATGCTGGGGATCAATCCCAGACCTTACCCATGCCAAGCAAGCCCTCTACCACTAAGCTACATCCCCACCTCAGATCGCTGATTTTTTTCTGAAAAAGAAATAAATATCAGTTGGCCTAATTCAGGGAGAACATATAATATCTTTTTGTTGATGTTGTTTTGAGACAGGGCCTCACTATATAGTTCAGGCTGGCCTTGAACTCACGTAGCCCAAATTGGTTTTGAACTTGCAACAATCCTCCTACCTCAGCCTCCTGAGCGCTGGGATTACAGTATATGCCACCACATCCATTTGGACATGCAATATCTTAATGAGATGCAACTTCAGCCTCAATACAAACCAAGGTCTTCTTTTTCACAAAAAGGCAGAATGACAGGAAATAAACGTAATCATGCCATTTTTTCACTTATCCAACAGGCAGAGTTTAAGAGGGTTATCAACGATACTGTATGATGGGATTTTTTTTGGGGGGGGTGTTGGGCATTGAACGCACAACCTCGTGCTTGTGAGGCAGGCACAGTGCCACTGAGCTAAATCTCCGGTCCAATGGATGTTTTGACCCAGAGAAAGCAGAAACAAGACTGGGCCAAATACTGCAAGCGTACACATTCCTACAGAGACAAAACTTTATTGGCAGAGGGGCTCAGTCACACTGGGGTTTTGGCTGAAGGGAGAAAGCAATTGGTTGACAGAGTGACCAAGCTGCTGCTTGCAGAACCCAAGAGAGCTGCAGGTTTTTATGGATTTTATGGGGGTGGGCTAAAGTCTAGTCATTTTCATTGGCCAGGGGGATGGTTTTAGAAGATGTTTCTTATTGTGATGGATTTGGATCACTGAGTGGCTATGGTCAACAACTCATCCTAGAAGCTGTTGAGTTTTCCTATATCTGGCATGATCATTCGGAGCAGAATATCCTGGCTCTGTACTTGGAGGGCTGACAGGGGGTCAGCTTCGCTCAGGAATGCCAAGTTACTCCTGCAGCTGCTATCATCATCTTACATAAATGTCCTGGACTTATGACAGGGGTGCAGGTCTTTTATTGCTGAAAAATGACAAGGGTGGGGCAGAAAAAACACACACTGACTCCAATGGGCAATAGGCCAAATTGGCCCTGCGTCACAGTGTTGGACAAAACATTTCTTAAATGATCAACATGTCTACATACAGAATTGAGTAGAATCTGACTCATCTGTTACAACAGCAAAGCAGGACTGACACAACATAAAGACAGGATGCCAAGGTTTTATCCCATGTTAGTCACCCATTAGACATCCGAAGACCCGGGTGAAGAATCGGTCGGATTTCTCAAGGAAAGTGGCTTTGAGGACCGTGAGAGCCAACCTAGGCAACTGTTACCATAACTCCCAAGTCAGAGGGGTTACTTATTGCAAAGGTAGTGAGAAATTAATATGTATTGTCCACCCGTGTGACTTGCAAAATTAATACTTTTAAGTTGACTAAGAGCAAGCAAAGCTAGAGGGCTTACTTAGCGCTTTTCTTGGTAATAACTTCTCATTTTATACAAACATTTTGCTTTTTTGGTTTTATCGGGGCCTCATAACGGGTCTGTTGAAACATGCCATGCTATAGGGTAATAGGAACTGTTTTGTCGTCCCAGCCTTCTGTCCCACCACTGTCCCATCATGGTGGTCCTTAACTATTTCATTAATAAACGATTGGGAGAGTGTGGAGAATAATCCTATTGCTAGAAGCAGAACATTTTAGATACTTTAGCAATGTTTTAGATATGCGGAGGAGCACAAACTGCCTAGTATCTCTGAAGCTCCATTACTGTATTTTGTCAAATGGGGCTAATACCTACCCTAATGGCCTGAAGGAAATGACATACAGTAATTTAAAAGAGAGTGACTTGTAAGTAACAGTTACTATTTCCTGGGCACTTGTCATTTTAAGTGCTTATAATCCTGTAAGTACTATTATTATCATTCCGATTTTACATATAAGAAAACGGAGGCACAGAGGATTCAGTATTGCTCAAGGAGTGGAGGGCGTTAGGGTACACCTGGGATTACTGGCATTATATATACACGGTGGGCTCTAACCTGGGTCCCATTTTCTACAGCGAGCCTGGCCACAGTCAGGACCTTGTTTACATAAAACTTGCTCCCCCCGCTCCCCCCGCCTTCGTTATTTGCCATCCGCTGGTCTGCTCTAATTGCTTTGTGTATCTCATCACCGTTTTACCCGATTGAGCTTCCCCGTGGAACTCAATTCACCTCTCACTCCTATTATTTTTCATAGCGTCCTAACTACTGTTGGGCACACGGTAACACTTTATAGATAAAGGCCTAATAAATTTTGTCGTACCTTTCTGCGAGATCAATAGCATAGCTTTACAAATGTGAAATAATTTTCACGAAACTTCCGCATACAGCCTGCCAAGAAAGCGCCTCGACATCAGCTATGCTCCCATAGGGACGCTAGGGGCCGACCTTTCCCGCTCTTGTACGTCAGTAGGAACTTCCCGGAACCTTTCCTGCGAACTCTGAGGTGGTCCGCCCGGACAACACCACGGAACACACGCCATAGCAAAGATTAGTAGGCTAACTGCGTGCCTGAAATTTTTCTCACCTGTGCATATGTTCCCGGCAAGAAAACCCTTAAACTCTGGCATGTTTTAAAGTCCTAAGCGATGGTGACATTACTATAGCTTCAAAAGATAAAAATTAATTGACTCCAAGAGAGTTTATTCTTCTTTTCGGTTAGGCATATATATGGAAAACCTCTTGAGACGACCATGGAAAGCGGGGGAGGAAAGCGGAAGCCGCGGGGTCTTCTAAATCTGAAAGTCTCTGCAGCTTGCGCCGGGGTGTTTACGGCGCCGTACACTTAGACGCGGGTCTTAGAAGCCGGCGGGGGCTAAGGAGTTGTTGCCGGATCTAAGTCTACGCGGCCGAAGTCCGCAGGGATGAACCTTGAGTTGCTGGGTAAGGAGGGGTATGGTTGCGTCTTAGACAATCCTTTGGCACTGGAAAGGAGGGAATGCAGGAGGGAGGAGCTTCAGGCTGTAACCTTAGGGACAAGGTTCTGCGTTGGATCTTTGGGCGCTTGTTGGGATGGAGCTGCAGCATCATTCTCCCCAAGTAGAATGTACCGCTTTTCTGAAGCCTTTTCCAGATCAGTAGTGCAGTGGAAGGGAACAGACACTTTGTGACTTAGCTGTGATTACATGGATCGCTGGTGCTAAAGTATCCCAGAGCAGACGAGACCAGGGTTGTTGGAGTTGGACTATGAGGACACGAGAGCCCTGGGGCGAAGCTGTGAAGACCTGTCAGGGGACTGGATGTCTGGACAGTTTAAATCTCTTTGTAGAAACTCTTGTTGCCTAAGGAGGGGACTCGAAGATTTTCTAATAGAAGTCCCTCATTAAACATAGTTAAAAAAAAAAAAGGCTCGGAGGGTTGTAACTAGACATTAAGCAGATAAGTGGCATAGTTGGCACTGAAGTCCTGTCATCTTAGCCTCTAACTGCGAGGGTTGGTGTGTAATGCATGAAAGTGCGAACTATAGAGACAGTTGCTTTTTGTCAATCTCATTTCCTTTCTACCCCTTCTCCAAGTTGGACCTTTCTTCTGGGCTTTTATTAGGACTGTTAGCATGGCAGTCTTGGGATCGTTGAGGTTTTGGAGAACTTTTACATGACTTTTTGTGATTAATAGTTATGTAATCATAAAAAGAAAGATTCAGAAGATATGTTGATCAGAGGGCTACAAAAGTAATTTAAGAAATGGTCTTTGCCTTTAAGGAGTCTTAACTCTCGTTTAGCAGAGAGTTCAAAGTGATTATATAAATACTCACTGTATGTTGCAGAACATAGGCCTGTGAGAGTCATTACCACACGCTAAGAACATTTGGAAGATGGAGTTAATGTCTTTGGGGCAAGGGAACTAAGGCAGTCAGAAAAAACTGCCCCTCATCTGTGGAGGAGTTGGGGTTCTAAGTGGATATTTAAGGTTGGTAAAATATTGACAGAGTAAGTACGAAGAGACGATGAGGAATGCTCACTATATAATATGTTAAAGATATGAGTGAGGGTAGACCTAGAGAACTTTCCTGTATGGCCAGGATGTGGGTGGTATAATAAAGGGAATGCAACTCCAGCCCTGTTTTATGGACATTGTTGAATGCCAGTGTGAAGTGTGTGTGTGTGGGGGGGGTTGTTTTTTGTTTTTTGAGACAGGGTATTGTTATGTAGTTCAAGCTGGCCTTGAACTCATGGGGATCCTCCTACCACAGCTTCCCAAGTGCTGGGATTACAGGTGTGTACCACCATGCCCGGCTCAAAATTTGTGCTTTTAAAGGAAAGTTGAATAGATGCATTGAAGGGTTTTGGCCTAAGTAGCTTAACTGGAATCTTATTTGTAAGATTTAACTGACAGTAATGTGCAGTTGAGTCTTGGAAGGGTGTAAAACTAGTTTAGAGAACTAGTGATAAGGAAGGTGAATGATGAGGGCTGAGCTGGGAAATGGAAAGAAAAGCACTGAGGAGAAAGGGTTGACAGAATTTGAGAACTGATTGCATATAGTGGTGATAAGGAAGAAAGTGAAGGGGGGAATGATGGGACTAAATAATGGCATTATTTATAAGATTTAAGGACATTTGGGAAAGAGAGTTAGCTTTGGATCTCTTTAGTGGACTTAGAGTTCAGGAGACAGGTTTGGATTTATGGATTTTTGAGAGACAGGTTTGGATTTATAATAGTCCTGTAGGTGGGCTAATTAAAGCTTAGTGAGTAGATGACTAAGGGAGAAAGTGGGAGGGGCAAAAATGAAAATTTTGAGACAAAATCTTGGATAATTATCTCTATATAAGGGATAAGAAGAATGAAAAATTAGCTAACAGTTGTGTAGTACTTAACTGGGCACATTTTAAGTGCCTTCCGTGTATTTTTCCACGTAGAGGTAGAACACAGGTTAGTATGGTGCCTTTCCATAGAAGCCAGTTGTAGAGCAGTTGAGACTGAGCGTTGACAAACAGCTGCTACATTTAGTGCTTCCGCAGCGTGGGGCTCTCAGCATCCTGAGCTGAAGGTCGATTACTGTACTGCGATTTTAGGAAGGTGTGGGAGACAAAATAGACAAAGAGTTGACCTTTATTTTTAAAAAGTGTGAAGGACGGGCTATAGGCCAGTCCTTGGAAGAAGACAGCAAGGTCATGGGTAAGTTTTGTTTGTTTAATTAATTTTTGCTGCTAGGAGTTGAACACAAGGCCTTGTGCATGCTAAGCACACATTCTGCCGCTGAGCTGCACTCTTAAGCTGGGAAAGATTTTTCTTTTTTTTTTTTTGGTACCAGGGATCGAACTCAGGTCCTTGCGCTTGTGCAGCAGGCAGCGAAACCACTGAGCTACATCCCAGGCCCAAAAGATTTTTCTTGAATGCTACAGAAGGTTCATGAGAGTGAAACTTAGGGAGGAATATGTAGCATTAGAAGGTACACAAGCTAAAAACAGTCTGGGTCCAAAAGATAAAAATCTCTGTAGCAATGACTCTGAATTTTAAATCCAGAAAATTAATGCTTAGATATAAAAAGGAAAGCAACACAGAGGACATGATTGTTAGAGCATACTAAAAGACATCTGGCCAGATAAAGGGAATGAATGATAATGTGTTTTAGATGTGGACCCTTAGGTGGTCCCTAGGTAATTTGCTACTAACTTTTCTTCTGTAACCACTTTGAACCCCTGCTGTGTGCCAGGCAGTGTGTACTGGATACATAAAGTTAATAAGACAAAGACAGTGTTTCCAACTTTCTTTTTGGTACTGGGGATCCAATTCAGGACCTTGCCGCTTGCAAGGCAGGCGGCGGAACCACTGAGCTAAATCCCTGGCCCATTTCCAACTTATTTTTACCACAACTCATAGTAAGAAATACATTTTCTGTCATAATCTATTTATGTACATGTCCATATAACTAAATTTTTCAGAATTAGATGTACCACTTGTTATGTTTAGTTCCCTTTGATAGTTCCTATTTTAATCTATTAAAAAACTTGTTGCAACTTGCTAAATTCATTCATCGAGAGTTTTTTAATCTATTTGTGGTGGATTGAATCCTGCCATTTGAAAAATATTGAAATAGGATACCACCTTTGCCCTGGATAAATAGCAGTAGGAGAAACATAAGTAAATAATTATAATATGGAATCATAATAAATTAGTGTATTATGGAAATCCAGCTAAAAGAGCAGTCAGTTTTGCATTGTTGGCGGGAATGGCTGTAGAATTTAGGGAGATTTTAGAGAGGAAAGGGTAGAGAGGGCTGGGGTATAGCTGGCTGGTAGAGTGTCTTGCATGTACAAGGGCCTGGGTTCAGTCCTCAGCACCAGAGTGGGGTGGGGGTGAGGTTCGGGGTTTTTCCACAGGGATGAAAGTAACTGAGTGGAGAGAACTGCAGTGGCAAACAAACCTAAGGTGTGAACATGTGTGGTATGTTCAGGAAATGGTCAGCAGTTTGCAGCTGGTGTAGAAGATGGGCCGCTCCAGGTTCTGTTCTAGGTGCTGATGGAGAATTAGCCAAAATTCAACTGGAAAATACCGCCTGGGGGCAGATTGAAATTACTTTTTGGGGGGGGGTACTGGGGATCGAACTTGGGTCCTTGTGCTTTCAAGGCAGGCGATGGAACCACTGAGCTAAATCCCCGGCCCTGAAATTACTTTTTAAAACTAGATTTAGGACTTTTGTGCATTTTGTAACAAGGAAGGTTTTTAGCAGTTGAATGGCATGATACATTCTGGAAAGGTAGCCTTAGAGCTTGGTAAAAGATGGTAGGAGGCAAGACTGGAGCCATGGAGATGCAGGAGCCAAGGGATGTGGTGGTTTGGTTTGAGGGTAGAGTGAGGTCAGTTATCTACCCCTACTAGTTGCGTTTCCCTAAAAGAAATAGTGACAGAGTCCTCACCTGTTAGATACAGGAAACGAAATGGAAACTGCAGCGTAGGTCCTAAACTGTTAAAACAAGGACGAAATGGTTGGTAAGTAGAAAAAATAGGACTCTTGGGAGAAAAGTCATGAAATTTTACAGCTCCTGGTAATTAAGTCTTTAAGGAGCTGCATGTTAAAAAATTCAGAGAATAGACATTATTCCATGTGACAAAACTGGGAGGAAAAAAGCTTAAGAGGCCTGGAATGTCACAGGGTATTTGGGGAAAGAATCCTGTCGTGGAAAGGAAGCTCTGAGGAGATCCCTGAAGATGCTCGTGTGATTTCCCTGAAAGCTGTCTGAACTCAGATCCCAGAAAGGCACACACAAACGGGTGGTGGATGGATCGGGGTGATGCTGGCTTTTCAGAATAGTGGTTGAAAGCTAATACGATTGAAAACCAAGGCTGTAAAAATGAGGCGGCAAGAAAGGGTTTTTATTACTTGGAGTGTGAAGAACAAGGAAGTCTTGGTTGGGCTGGGTGATGCAACACCAGATGTCTTGTGTGTGCCTAGCATGAGCTTTATAGGTAAAGGATAAATGGAATGCTTAAGTTTATTTTTCTTTTGCGTCTATGGCAAAAAGGATTATTTTGGGATAAATAGACAAAGTAAACTGGTTGTTGTGAAGAAAAGCCCTCAGTAGGTCAAGGTTTTAAGTGGGTCACTTAGTTCCCTTTGCTTGTTTGAATCACATTCCTTGGCCCTGAAGGAGCTGGTGGCCAAAACCACTGCTGATCTCTGAGGAGAAAAGAAAACACATGGAAAGGTGTGGGCAGATGTTTTGTAAGTCATACAGTGGTAATCTTGATGTCAAATTTGGGCTGTGTTCTAGGATTTTTAGTGTAGTTACAACGTAGCTAAAAGTCTAGATTTTGGGTCAGATCACAGTTTTTCCAGCTTTTGACTCTGAACTTGAGAAATGATTTAACCTTTTCACCTAGTTTTATCCTTCAGTAAAAAGGGGTGTAATGATGTCCACTTAATAGTGAATTGTCAGAATCCA